GGCTGCTTTAAAGTGCTGCTTTAAAGCTTTAAGCTTTTTTTTGTCACATTAAAGTCCTTTTAAGACTAAATTATATATATAAAAAAACGACTTTTTATGATTTGTGTCCACAGAAGCACTAGCTGACTGATCAGCGAGTTGTTTTTATTATACTGTTGACTAAACTTATCCTAAACACAAAACTATGAGTCATTTGACAAGTTTCTCCTTTTTTGTTCTATTTGTGTCCAGTTGACAAAAGCAGTAGTGGCAGTGTGGTGAAGCAGGGCGAGATGGAGCAGCGTGAGGGCCCAAGGAGCCGCTGGACACCCTGTTATGTTGAGCTGACTCCCTGTGAGCTGCGGCTCTACACTTTGGACAGCAGTGCCAATCGCCAACTAGGCACTGCCTTCTCCCTGTCACACTGCCAGAGTGTTGTCGCCCCGGCACCCTGCAGCCAGTCGAGTCAGATGAGCCAGCCTGGTGACAAGCGCACACTTCAGGCCTTGTTTTTCAACAGCACGCGACTCCAGCTGAAGGCGGCCAACCAGTGGGAGGCAATGGAGTGGAGACGGCTGATGTGGGAGAAGGTTCAGGCAGCTAGACCCATAAGGCAGGACAACCGCAAGCATAACAGTGGGCTGGATATTAAGCAGAGTGCTAAGTTTCCCATACCGATGTCACCTTCCTCTTCGCCCTCTCCCTCTGCACTGGACACTCAACCTGATGGGGACAGCGACACTCCAACCTCATCAGATGCATCACTTTCTAATAATTCTGGAGTCCTGAGCAGACCAACCACCCTCCCTCTATTTAACCAGCGCTTCCAGGATGTGCTGAAAGCTGGACTTCTTCATCTGCTGTTGGATCAGAACAACTGGCGGCCCTTCACCTTTGTCTTGACAAGATCTGCTCTCCAGGCTTTCCCTACAGAAGGGAGGGGCTCTGTGTCCCAACCAGTCCTCCAGTTCTCCCTAGCGTCCTGCTTGTCAGTACAGCAAGATCCTGTACCAGAGACTGGAGAGTCATGGGTGGATAAAGGGCGGTATTTCCAGGCTGTGTTCCCCAAAGAGGTCCTAAAACTCCAGGCAGATGATCATCTAAAAGCTCAGGAGTGGGTGGAAGCTCTACAGCAGGCAGTAGATGCACAAAAGTCCACACAAGAGGACAAGAGAGAACCAGGGGAAGGACCCGCTGGATTACAGGGAGTGTTGTTGAGATCCAAACCATCAAGGAGGCAGAGGGAGGCCCAGAGAGCCAAGCGGCAGTCAGTCACCACCAGTTTCCTCAGTATTCTCACCTGCCTGGCTGTGGAAAAGGGACTCACTGCTCAAAGCTTTAGGTGTGCTGGTAAGTACCGTGCAAAATGTCCAATCCATAGTCTAGATCTCTTTAAAGTAAGAAGTGTACATTTGTCCTCCTATAAATATTTAATATAAGAAGCCCTTTAATGTCTTCTTCTAAATCTTCATTGGAACTTTGAGCTCAAACTTTTGCCAAAAAACACACTTTTTTAGGCTTTTTTTCAGGTTTTAAAAGATTGATGTTTCAAAACCAGTAAATACTTTTAATTGTAATTGGTTAAATGGAGCATAATAGTGAAGTGTTCCCTCTATTCTATCTATTGTTTATGATGCTAGTCATCGCATTAAAGAATGACAACTTTAGCTTTTGTAAAATGATTTACCTCGGCAGTCATTGAGTGGAAGCTAAATGAGCTCAATCCATCGCTAACTTTAAAGCTGGAAGCTACAAGTTTAACTCCTCCCAGCCAGTAAGTGGAGCCCTCACATTCACCTAAGTCTACATCCGTATGGGTTCCCAGCCACTAGCCAGATCTGCTAATCCTCCTCCTTGTACCTTCTGATCTCCTTATCTTCCTTACGTCAGCACCGGTGCTCAAAAGCCTAACCAGTCTACACACCCTCATTTTGTGTCATTTTTGAAGAAGCTATTTCTTAGCTCTATCTTGGCAGCTCCAGCTCATATTACATCAACCTACTGTTCCTTTTGGACGTTGGCCTCATAAACAGAAGTAAATATTTATTTATTTTGAACCAGTCAAAATTGATAAAATAGTTGTTTATGTACAATATTTTGTTTTCTTCAGTAGAATTTATACTTTGGTTCTGCGTCACAAGACGTGGATATATTGCGATCTTTGAAAACAAAAGAATTTTGATACAAAAGTTGTAGCTATGACCTTTAATTTGGGGCGAGCATTGGCAAGGGTGCTTCGATATGATGCATTATTATCACGATATTGAAATATGATATATGTGGTACCGGGTTAATAATATCAAAATGAAATGTTGACATAAAAAAAAAAATGGCTGCATACGTTCATCAAAAGACATTGATTATCCAGTTATCTTGATAGCCATGTTGTTTGGGGTTTAAGTCAGTCTGCGTCCACCACTGCCTGTACTAGAGAAATGGCGCTGCCCCGCACAGCATATGGGCTCCTCGGCACCATCTACTGGAGCGGTGGTGCAGAAGTGGCCCATTTCCCCCCATTGTTTTTGGTAAAAACATTATTTTTATTTTTATCGATAATAGGAGCTGAAACATCAATATCACATTGTGTGACAGAAAACTGCAATATATCTCCAAATATTTTTTTTTTTTCACAATGTAAAGGTGTTTTAAATCTGATGGTAAATAGTTTGTTTGATGGCCGACTGCAGGTTCAGCTACATGAGCTGATAGCCCATCTAATTATATCTACAGTAACATAATCTTTTAACAAATCTTTTTTGAAAAAGTATTAACATTATTATTATCAGCCTTTGGTATAGCTAAATTGTTGTTGTTTTTTTTTGTTTTAGAACAGCCCCAATGAGTACTGTATACATCTTTTTTTTCATTAATGGTTAGTTCAGTATTTGAAGGTTCTAATTGCAGAGTAAAATGTGCAGCTTCATGTACTTAATTTAATCTATTCTAAAGCTTTTTACAGATTAGCAATTCTCTATTGATATTCAGTTAGTCCTTACACTAGGTCCTTGGACAGCTCTACAAATGCCAGGCGGTGCTTTTACTCCCCCTGGGTGTGAAACGTGGGCTTCCTCTCACTCTCCCTATGGAGGGCTTTGAATAATCGCCGTTCACCTCCCTTTTTTATTTGTAACCACTGGCTTTATTAATGCAGAGCTGTTTGAAAGGACAGCTGAAACGGGAACAAGGATGGGGGGCCATCCGGGGCCAACTGATGATAATTGGCGGGCTTAAAGCACTGGTGGAGAGGGAAAAACGGATGAATGAATGAATCTGTGAGTGAATGAGAGCAAATGAAAGCTGCCTGGGGATGCTACAGTGGACAGCTGTGAGCGGAGCTGTTTGTTGGAGGGGTTTCAGGTCAGAGCTGGATGGACGGGACAGCTGGATACGTCTGTTTTCTATAGAGAACACACCTCGGCTCCTTCACTCCGTTTATTACTCCTTTTCATTCTGCTTGCTTTCACCAGTTCATTCATGTTCATAACCGTGTCCTGTTTTTGTCTCCATTTCTCCTGCTGTCCACCCATTGAAATGACAGTATCCCTTCCTACCCTCCTGCTGTGTTAATTAGCACAACCTGAAACTCCATTTAAGCATTTAGATAAAAAAGAAATCAAATTTACAAGATTTCTCCCTCCTTGTTCTTCCCTCTCTGCTATTTTTTGTTCTGAATTCCTCTGCAAATCCTCTAATATATGCTAGAGTTTTAGGAACCATGAAGTTTTTCCAATTTAGAGGCTACATACTGTAAATCCCCTACCGCACTACAGTGAAAGTAAAAGTCTAAAATACAATTTCCCTATGCAGACGATTCATTTGTGACAGCACTAAGCGATGTTCATCCTCCCTGTGTCGGTAAGCCTTTGGATGTTCTGTTATTCAATCACAAAGTCCAACACCGGAAGGATACCTTACACCAGGTATCACCTACTGTTTAGAGTTCAACAAAGAAAACAACATATATTAAAGCAACAGTATGTCATTTACAGCCACTAGAGGTGCTAGACCTGTATTTCCCAGCTTTAGCAAGCCTTAAAGCAACACTGCACTGTCACACAGTCAAACAGCCTCCCCCTATGAATCGAAATCTGATGGCATATCACTTTTGACCAGGAAATTAATTAGTAATAGAGTTACTTAAAATGATAAGGCCACATTCAGCTCTTTAGATTAAATGCTACATCAGAGAACCAAAAATAGCTTTTTCTATCTTTATTGGTTCTGTGTTTAAGGGGAACTCAGTCTGCTGTAAAGTGGCGCTCTGGGTCACATGACTTATTAACTGACAGATCCAACCGTTTTAAAAAGGTCAGCCTGTCAGAGCCTCACTACATGCAGTGTTAATTACCTGAAAGATCATTTTACATATATTTCAAATTAAGCAAATTGGGGCTGAAACAATCAGATTAATCGTGATTAATCGATTAATGAAATAATCTTCAACTAATTTAGTAAATGATTTATCGTTACCTGGAGTATAGAGACTATAAAGCATGCCTTTAGCTGACAGAGCGACCTACTGAGTGCATTAAATATATGAAAATTGTAAAAAAAAAAAAAATGTCTGTCAAAATGCTCTATCAGAACTACTCAAGTAGAAATGTTTCACCTGGTTTCAATCTGTAAGAATTTTTCTTTAAAGAACCTTTTGCTATCCAATTATTAATTGATTACTCAAAAAATAATCAACAGATTAATGGATTAGCAAAATAATAGTTAGTTGCAGCCTTAAAGCTGATACTTTGTCAAAACGTACTTAGTGTTTATTTAACGGTGGATTAAATGCAATTTAGGTGCCTAAAATAAAAAGAACTTAAAGTACAGTTTTGTGAAGAAATAGAGGTATATTCAGGTGAACTATGTAAACATGCCACACACAATCTCTTTTACCCGTTTTTCATTGGCCCGAAAAACCGGTTTAAACCCACGAACAATCGACTTTTAGTGGCATTGGGAACAGCTCACTGACCCGTGTCGACCCGGGTCAAACGACTCAACAAATGACCCAGGTTAAAATCGCCTTAGAACGGCTCTGCTCCGATCAGCACACAGTGGGAACATCAGACGTCAACAAATGGCGCAAGTCACGTCCAATCTAATAAGCCAAAACAAGTCTGATTACATTTAATAAACATGGCGCAGCAATGGGCAGAGGGATTTGGATGGACAAAAGCGCCAAACAATAAAGAATAAAACACCATTACTTTGTCCTGGCTCTCTACCATGTTGCTCTCCATTGTTCTTCCCTGATTACCTCCCTGATTTCTGTCGCACTGGTGAGATCATCAATGCTAACCCAGCTTGATGGCATCACCAGACACGCAGTGGTGGGGGGGGGGACAGAGGCCAAACAGTTTGCCATGGGGAGGTCAGTGGGAAGAGAGCCAAATGTTGATTGTTAGCGGGTCGGCCTGTGTTTGACAAACCTGTGTTAACCTGCTGATTTCAGTGGGAAAATGCTTCCGTTTGTGTGCATGTAAACAGCTGCCACTCAAAGGTTAGCGGCGTAGCGTTGCAGCAAAATGGCAGATGGTGCATCCCGCAGACAGAAATGTTCACCGAAGACAATCAGGGCTTATTACTGTCATAGAGAAAAAAAAAAACAATCTTTGACAAATAAATTATTAGATTAGGTAAGGGACAAAACGAGGATCAACATTAGCCTTATGTTTCTGATGTAGAGAGCGGCTTAAGAGCTAAACCAGCTAGCTAGCTAGCGTTTCTCCTCCTGGGGTGGTAACAACATGAAATCAAATGAGTCTAGTTAGATTTATGCTGCTATGTTGATTGAATTCAACATAATGTAGCGTTTGTGAGATGTAGGATAACACTGTCTGTTTGACCAGCAATGGAACCGACATTACCGTTATATGAGGCGTGCATCACTGCTTAATGCCGCCCTGCGGGCCTGTGAGCTGCCTACTGTGATCCTCACCTACAATAAGAGCATTCTCTTTTTGACAAAAAAAAATACAACATTGAAACGAATCCACTTTGAAGATGCTTTAGTCTACCCTTTGCATATGCATATGCTATTTCTATCCAGTGTAGTACATGAGTAGTTGTTTAGCATCAAAATCTATGCCGCTAATTACATACGGGATGTGCTGCTTTCCAGATTCCTTTTGAAGGAAGCGCTTTACTTTTTAAGACTGTGACTCCCCGTTGCCCCCTTAAAACCTCTCCCCACATGTGTGATTACGCACACACACCACAGGTCCTGCTGATTGGTGGCCCCTGATGTTTCGTTGGAGCACGTTCTCAGGCCCCCTGGTTTACCTTACCAGTCCATTAGAGTTGGACTGGGGGGTGGGGCTGTTTCAAGTGAAGTGGGAATCGGTAAATTCAAG